GCCCCGGGGACAGCGGCGGCTCCTCGTGGCAGTCCTGCCTCTGGCACGGTGTGGGTTTGAGGACGGCGGCGGCTGGAGGCGGCAGGTAAGCGAAGCACATCTGCCGTGAGCGCTGAGGAGGAGAAGACTGATAGAACTTGGTGGGGCACAAATCAAAGTGGCTCGGCGAGAGTCTCACGTCCTCGGCTAAACACGACGGCCTGCTGTCCACACAGAAATCACTGCCGGCCCCGGGCCCCTGACGCATCATCTTCTGCTGACAGACGCCAGGAGAGAGAGGATAAAGATCCCATGAAACCAGACTCTTTTTTAATGCTTTTAACCGCATATACAGTATGTGAGCCTGCAGCACAAAAGCAGTCATAAGTCGCTGGGGTATATTTGTAGCAATAGCCAACAATACATTGTATGGGTCAAAATTATTGATTTTTCTTTTATGCCAAAAATCATTAGGATATTAAGTAAAGATCATGTTCCATGAAGATATTTTGTAAATTTCCTACCATAAATATATCAAAACTTAATTTTTGATTAGTAATATGTATTGCTAAGAACTTCATTTGAACAACTTTAAAGATGATTTTCTCAATATTTAGATTTTTTTGCATCCTCAGATTCCAGATTTTCAAATAGTTGTATCTCAGCCAAATATTGTCCTATCCTAACAAACCATACATCAATGGAAAGATTATTTATTCAGCTTTCAGATGATGTATACACCTCAATTTAAACAAAATTGACCCTTATGACTGGTTTTGTGCTTCTGGGTCAAATATGTCTGTTTAGGGCGAGACACTACAGGCAAAACATTTGTTTTTCATGCACTGGTCATTTCTGAGATTTAGATTTTCGTAATGTGTTTTTTTCTAGTGGACTAGTGGAAAAAACATCCAAAATGCACATTTAAGTGTTTATTTGATCAATTTGCAACTTTAGGTTGCAATCCCAATCCATATCCTTAAACGGGTCATGACATGAGAAATCAAATTTGCCTTGATCTTTTGGCATATAAGGCTCTTTGCACCATTAAAACATCCTGCAAGTTTCAGAGCTTAAAACGTCCTCCTCGTTATAAACAAAGCATTTATTTAATCGAGCTCCAAAAACGTCTCGTTTGGATCCGAGGGGCAAGATGACGTCACCCGAGCACAAACATTTGCATAAACACGCCTCCAGAGCTAGACATCGACCAATAGTCTTCTTCTCAGCATAGGCCCCGCCCACTGGCGTTCAGTCACTAACGGCCGACACGTGATCACGCTGAATGTGTCAAAATCAGATAGAAATCACAATCACTGCGCTATCTGGTCTACACTGGATATACAGATATGAGTCTGTCTTCAGGACAAATGCAGTGAAAGATCGTTCGCTTTGTCGCGTTTGGTTTAAACAGCTCGTTCACGTCTTTGTACAGCTATCAGAAGGAAACTAGTGGATCGTTTATTTTAATGGCGTCTCGGATCGTGTCGGAGGATTTTGTTTTGTAATCGAGGCACAGTGTCATGGAGACTCACAAAGAAACATCTGTTGAGAGATGAAGCGGAACTAGATCTGATTCTGACTGCAGCTGCATCACAAACCGTAAGCAAAGGATTTCATAATGCTTCGTCTGGAAATGACCCTTTTATTTTGATCATGTTGTCAAAACACGCAATAATAGTGAGGGCCGTTGATACGGTTTCCTATGCAGTGATGTTAGCCAATCATAACAGCGGCTGATTACTGACGAGCCTTAAAGGACACGCCTCTAAAAACAGCTGGTTTCAGAGAGAGGGCCAGAATGAGGGTTGAAAATGAATGAGGGTTGAAAATTATTTTTCCACATATTTATTTGGTTTTTTATGCAAAAAACTTTATTAACATTGTAAGTAAACCTTAAGGAACATTAAAATAATTTTAAAAAATCAATGTCATGACCCCTTTAAAGAGTTTGTTCTCTAACAAACACCAAACTTTACAGTTTTATTCCTCTCTATGTTCTGAAGGTTTGCTCACATTTCGTTCACACTGATCTATGCAACACTTTACTGATAAAAACATGATAAAAACGTGTTTGTTTTCTGTCTGTTGACAGTATTTTCTGATTTATGATGGAGTGATTAAAAAGAGAAATCCAAAATGCACTCTGGAAAAACCTTTAATACATGTCAACAAAACAAAAACTATGAACCTGGCTTTATCTTATATATAGACTTCTGTTCTCAAATATGAGCATATGTAATCAGATAATGCCATATTTGCATATTCAAACTAAATTTCTGAAAACTGTAACTAAACAGTTGTCTTAATGTACTGTGATTTATTAATTAAAGTTTTACTCTGTATAGTGTCCTGCCTTAAAGAGAAGTCAGAATGATCAACTTTCAGGATGCATCTTCATCATCATCATCATCATCATCACAAAAACTGATTTCACGGATCTTCAAGTGTTTGGTGTTAAACTC